GGGACATGGAGCAGAACCACAATCCCCTCTGAAAAAAATCTCCATTCTGATTTAAAATCCCGTTAAAAAGGTTTTATTTCTTTTTGTGGCTGTTAAACCTGCTTTGACCACAGGAGGGCACTGTTTTCTGTCCCTCACATTCATTAAGATTGAAGATACCCATTTTTAAGTCGGATGAAGGCTTTTCAAGCTTACATTAGCACTGAAGCCATCATAGGCCTTTTGAAGCAGCTTTCCTTCTTTTGTGCCTATTCAGCAGCCCCTGGGCCTCCAGTTGCCCTTTTAATAAGTTTTTTAATAATAAAGGTGCAGAATAATATACTTAAAATCCCATTAAAAAGGTTTATTTCTTTTTGTGGCTGTTAAACCTGCTTTGACCACAGGAGGGCACTGTTTTCTGTCCCTCACATTCATTAAGATTGAAGATACCCATTTTTAAGTCAGATGAAGGCTTTTCAAGCTTACATTAGCATTGAAGCCATCATAGGCCATTTGAAGCAGCTTTCCTTCTTTTGTGCCTATTCAACAGCCCCTGGGCCTCCGGTTGCCCTTTTAATAACAAGTCTTTTAATAATAAAGCTGCAGAATAATATACTTAAAATCCCATTTAAAAGTTTTTATTTATTTCCATGGCTGCTAAACCTGTTTTGACCACAGGAGGGCACTGTTTTCTGTCCCTTACATTCATTAAGATTGAAAATATATCCATTTTTAACTCAATTGAAGGCATTTCAAGCTGGTTTCCTCCTTTGCTTGTTGTGCAGCTCCTGGACCTCCTATTTCCCTTTTTCCTCTTAAAGCATTTAATAATGAGTGTACAGAATAATAACCTTACAATTCTATTAGAAAAGTTTCTTTCTGTGGTTGCTAAATCTGCTTTGATCACAGGAGGGCACTGTTTTCTCTCCCTTACATTAACGAAGCAATTATATCCATTTTTAACTTGGTTTAAATCTTTTGAAGCAGGTTTCCTTCTTCTGTGCCTGTTCAGCAGTGCCTGGGACTATAATTGCCCTTTTTATTTTAATACTAAAACTTAATACTAAAGATAAACCTTGAAATCCCATTAAATAGGTTTATTTCTTTTTGTAGGCGCTAAACCTGTTTTGATCACACGAGGGTGCTGTTTTCTGTCACTTACTTTTAAGCACTGAAGTGGTCATAGGTCTTTTTAACTCAGTTGAAGGTGTGGGAAGTCAGCCCCCCCCCCCAGAAGGAAATATTAAAAGGGCAGGAAAATATATTTCCTCAAAGGATCTTAAAGAGGCAGAAAAGCATGCCCAGGTTTTCTTAATAGCCCCAAGTCTCCCTCCTCCAAGCAGAAACCAGCTCTGTACAAATGTAGATGTGATAATCCATTCAGGAAGGCTGAAGCTAGAAGATTAAGAAGACAAAGACACCTGAAATCTACATACCCCACCCAAACTATAAAACAGGACATACTAGGATTATTCCTCTGTCCTTGTTCTTTTGGACCTCTCAGCGGCTTTTGATACTGTGGACCACAGTATCATGCTGCGGCGGTTGGGTGGGTTGGGAGTGGGAGGCACTGTGATGCGGTGGTTCTCCTCCTTCCTCACCGACCGTACGCAGTCTGTATTGGCAGGGGGACAGAGGTCGACCCCAAGGCCCCTAACTTGTGGGGTTNGGGACATGGAGCAGAACCACAATCCCCTCTGAAAAAAATCTCCATTCTGATTTAAAATCCCGTTAAAAAGGTTTTATTTCTTTTTGTGGCTGTTAAACCTGCTTTGACCACAGGAGGGCACTGTTTTCTGTCCCTCACATTCATTAAGATTGAAGATACCCATTTTTAAGTCGGATGAAGGCTTTTCAAGCTTACATTATCTTACATTAGCACTGAAGCCATCATAGGCCTTTTGAAGCAGCTTTCCTTCTTTTGTGCCTATTCAGCAGCCCCTGGGCCTCCAGTTGCCCTTTTAATAAGTTTTTTAATAATAAAGGTGCAGAATAATATACTTAAAATCCCATTAAAAAGGTTTATTTCTTTTTGTGGCTGTTAAACCTGCTTTGACCACAGGAGGGCACTGTTTTCTGTCCCTCACATTCATTAAGATTGAAGATACCCATTTTTAAGTCAGATGAAGGCTTTTCAAGCTTACATTAGCATTGAAGCCATCATAGGCCATTTGAAGCAGCTTTCCTTCTTTTGTGCCTATTCAGCAGCCCCTGGCCTCCAGTTGGCCTTTTAATAACAAGTCTTTTAATAATAAAGGTGCAGAATAATATACTTAAAATCCCATTTAAAAGGTTTTATTTATTTCCGTGGCTGCTAAACCTGTTTTGACCACAGGAGGGCACTGTTTTCTGTCCCTTACATTCATTAAGATTGAAGATATATCCATTTTTAACTCAATTGAAGGCATTTCAAGCTGGTTTCCTCCTTTGCTTGTTTTGCAGCTGCTGGACCTCCTATTTCCCTTTTTCCTCTTAAAGCTTTTAATAATGAGGGTACAGAATAATAACCTTACAATTCTACTAGAAAAGTTCCTTTCTGCGGTTGCTAAACCTGCTTTGACCACAGGAGGGCACTGTTTTCTCTCCCTTACATTAACGAAGCAATTATATCCATTTTTAACTCGGTTTAAATCTTTCGAAGCAGGTTTCCTTCTTCTGTGCCTGTTCAGCAGTGCCTGGGACTATAATTGCCCTTTTTATTTTAATACTAAAACTTAATAATAAAGATACGGAATAATAACCTTGAAATCCCATTAAAGAGGTTTATTTCTTTTTGTGGGCGCTAAACCTGTTTTGACCACACGAGGGTGCTGTTTTCTGTCCCTTACTTTTAAGCACTGAAGTGGTCATAGGTCTTTTTAACTCAGTTGATGGTGTGGGAAGTCAGCCCCCCCCCCCCCCCCCCCGCAGAAGGAAATATTAAAAGGGCAGAAAAATATTTTTCCTCAAAGGATCTTAAAGAGGCAGAAAAGCATGCCCAGGTTTTCTTAATAGCCCCAAATCTCCCTCCCCCAAGCAAAAACCAGCTCTGTAGAAATGCAGATGTGATAATCCATTCAGGAAGGTTGAAGCTAGAAGATTAAGAAGACAAAGACGCCTGAAATCTACATACCCCACCCAAACTATAAAACAGGACATACTAGGATTAACCCACAGATGCCAAAGGGGCACACCCAAACAGGTCAAAATACATGACATGGGACATACAAAGCCTCAAACAGGAACAGGAAGCAACTACAAACAAGAGCTCCAGAGGGTATAAAAACCCACTCCCTACATGTGCTCTCTCTCTTTTCTTCCAGAGCCATCTTTCTGTCTGGCTCTCCTCTTCAATAAACTGCGACCTTCTTTTTAAAGCAGTCGCCATGTAGTTTATTCCCGGCTTGGACTGAACATTGATGAAGACTTTTCCTTCAACAAAGGCTTTGAAGCAGGTTTCCTTCTTCAGTGCCCGTTCAGTAATACCTGGGATTCCTATTACCCTTTTATTTTTAAGGCTTCATGAGGGTAAATAATTATAACCTTATTTAAAGGGATTTTAATGACCTTAAAATCCTTTTTAAAAGGTTTATTTCTTTTTGTGGGTTCTAAACCGGCTTTGACCACAGGAGGGCTACTTGTTTTCTGTTCCTTACTTTAGCATTGAAGCCGTCATAGGCCTTTTAAACTCCGTTTAAGTCTTTTGAAGCTGGTTTCCTTCTTCTGTGCCTGTTCAGCAGGTCTTGGGGCCCGGGATTCAATTTTAATTTTAATAACAAGACTTAATAAATACTAATAATATTAATACTAACAATATTTACTAATAATATTAATACTACTACTAATAATAATACAATACTAATACTACTAATACTATTAGTACTAATCTATTAATACTAATACTACTAATACTACTACTAATAATAACAACAACAAAACAAAAGAACAAAACAACAAGAACAAGAGCAACAATAACAATAATAACAATAATAATATATATCTTACATCTTATATTTTTAAGGAGGTACCTGGTTGACACCTAGGATGCTGGTAGCAACCCTTGTCAACCATCAGCGCCAGCCAATTTGAATGTTCAGTGGACTGAGGTTTATGTCTAATGAATAATAATAATAATAATAAAGGTACTGAATAATAAGCTTAACATGCCACTGGAAAGTTTATTTCTGTGCGCGGATGCAGTTCCCGACGTGACCCTTAGAGGGCAGCGCTATCCCTCTTTCCCCGGCTCAGGCTGTCTGGCTAGCCAGCCCGTCGAAGGGGCGGGGCTCCCGCCCTCCCCCTGCCGCGCCTGCGCCCCCTTGCGCGACGCTTTGCGACAGCCGTCGGGCGCCTCGGACGGGGCTTTCCGGCGGGGCTGCGCGGGCGAGGAGGCGGCGGCGGCGGCGGCGATGCTGCTGACGGTGTTCTGCCTGCGGCGGGACCGCTCCGAGCTGACCTTCTCGCTGCAGGTGGACGCGGACTTCGAGCTGCAGAACTTCCGCGCCCTCTGCGCCCTCGAGTCCGGCGTCCCCGCCTCCGAGAGCCAGGTGGGCGCGCGCCCCCCGCCCCTCCCCGCCCCCGGCGCCCCTCCCGGGGGTCCCGTCGGGGTGGGTGGGGTGGAGCCCCCCCCGAGGGGCCGTTTGCGGGTGTGTGTGTGTGTGTGTGCGTGTGCGTGGAAGGCGCTGCAGCCGGGGCGGGTCGCCCTCCGTCCTACTCCGGGCTGGCTCCCTCGGGCGGCGCCGCGTGGCTGGTGGGCGGCGGGGCGGGGGTCCCTGCGGGGAGGGCTCAGACCCCTTCCCTGCCTCCCCTCCGCTGCCCCCCCTCCGGGGCTTGTGGGGAGGCTGTCCCCCTCCCCCCGCGCAGCTGGGCAGGGGGCTCCAGATGCCCTCGGATGGCGGGGAGGGGGCTTTGCCATGGGGAGGGGTCGCCGGGGGTCTTCTGCGAGGGCTGCGGAACTGGCTGGCCGGCTGCCAGAGCGCCGAGTCTGCGGATGGCGGCCCTTCTCCTCTGGGTACCTGCCTCCCCCCCCCTCTTTTGGGACTGCCTCCCTCCCTCTGTCTGCCTTGCTTGCCCCCCTGCCCCGTCCCTCTATTTTGGCTGCACCCAGACCGGGCGCTGCCCCCCTCGTTTCCTGGGTAGCTGCTTGCAAGAAGGCAGGGTGGTGGGTTTGAGCTAGGAAGCCCCTCGACCCCTTTGCTGGCTCCTTCTGGGGTCTGTAGATCCCGATTCCCCCCCCGTCCCCCCAATTGGGCAAAGCTTTGCAGTGCCACCTGCAGCCACTTTTGGCCCAGATCCTCTCCTAATAATCTGATCCCTCCCTCCTGGGGAGTGGTGGATCCGGCTCCTGACCCAACCGGCCAGCCCGCAATCCTTTGTACCGGTCGGGTCGGCTGGCTTGGAACCTGCGGGTGGTTCCGAGTTACGTCCTGCTCTCGCCTTCTCCCCCCCTCCCCCATGGCACAGCTGCGTGGGCTCTTTCAGGCAGGGCTTTCTGCCAGATCCTGGTAGGTAGGGTCTTGGGGCTCCAGCGGGATCCGCTTCCTGGCACTTCCAGGAATCGTTTCTGGGAATGGCTTTACCCACCTTAGATCGGCTGGGGAAGCTTTGCGGAAGACGGTGGATCAGGCAGGGCAGCGGGCGGTCCCATTTAGAGCAGGGGTCTTCAAACTCGGCCCTTTTAGGACTTGTGGACTTCAACTCCCAGAATTCCTCCGCCAGGATGC